ACAAAGATGGAAAGAGTAGGGGCTGGGGATTTAGCTCAGCGGCATAAGTGCCTGCCTTGCAAGCAGGCAGTCGTGAGTTCGATCCCCAATACCAATAAAAAGGAAAAAGACAAAAAAAAAAAAAAAAAAGATGGAAAGAGTAGCACCAACAGAAGACAGCTATGGTGACTGAGCATCCAGAACTCACCAATGAGATGGGACTCAGAATGATGACAGTAAACTTCGCCCTTACAGAGGATCCCAGTGTTAGCACTTTACATAGGTGATTTATTTAACACAAGAACACATAATTTAACACATAGGTGTTAAACACACAATAACACAATAATTTAACACATAGGTGATTTATTTAACCCCACACACACACCATCATGGACACTGGATAATCTGTTATCCCTATGGTGCGGGTGTGGCAAGAGAAGCCAACCTGAGAAATGTGTCCAATTCTGCTTCTAAGTGGCAGAGGCACATGTGAATACAGGCTTTGGTGTCTATGCTGCGGACCACCACACTTACCAATCTACAGTGCTGTTAGGCTGTGGCTTTACCATACCATGCATTTGTGATCACATTTTTCAAAGCACAATTGTCAAGAGTTTGGATCTAAACTGTCCCCCAAAGACCTCATGGGTCCAGAGGTAAGGCTTTCAGAAGGTGACTGAATTATAGGATGCTACAGTCATCTGTGGATTAGTACATTAATGAATTCAGTAACTGAGTGTGCTCTTGGTCAGAAAAAGCAGGTCACTAAGAACATACCCTGGAAGGGTATATCTACCTCGCCATCGCCTCACGTCTGCCTCTGTCTGTCTGTCTGTCTGTCAGTCTGTCTCTGAAGATGTCAACAGTGCCTGATCCTTCTGCCATGCATTGCCCGCTTCAGAACCAGACAACTATGGACTGAAGCCTTTTGATACCATCAGCCCAAATAAACTTCTCCTCCTTTAATTTTGAGGTGTCAGATATTGTGTCTCAGTGATGAGAAAGTGGCAAAAACACCACTGACACCCCAAACCTGTGATGCAATCAGGGCCTCCAGGTATGTGCTTGCTCTTAGCAGAAAGATACGGGATCCTAAGTAGTTTCTAGATGTAAGCAGAAATGAGTTCCCTCCTTTCCTTTCGTGTGGAGACTTACAATGTAAAAGAACTTCTAAATGCCCCACCAAAACACAGGTTGTGCCCACTTCTTGTCAGACCCAAAAGAACAAAGCAGGGCCCCTCCCCTCCCTCTGCATTCCTTCTGAGCTCCAAGGACCTTTCCCAATATTGATGGGTGAAGGTCATGGCCCCGGGAGTGGCCAAGTTGACACATGTCCACGCACTGGTTCCAGCAGCCTTTGATCACACTCCCTTTCTTCTCACCCTGCAAGCCCACGGCTGGTCTTTTCCTGCTTAGAGCAGCGGTAGTGCGTTATCCTCTAATGTTTGGTCTATACAGTTTGATTGGCCTTTGTTATTTTGAATGAGCAGATGAATCTCAAATTAGCCGCTCAGCAGAATCAGCCTTCTTGTTGATTCATGTTAGGAGTCAACACTCTGTATACAATAGGCAAATCATCAGGTTTTGGCATCCTGCTGGGAGACTATGTTGGAGGGGAGGAAAAGAAAAAAAAACTGGCTATATTTTAAATGTGGAGTATTTCAGGCATTCCTGAAATGGAATAATGAAAAAGTGAGATCACACTCTACCTGTGTGAAAATGAATAACAGCCCTATTAATAGCAAAAAACTCAAAGATGCCAGGCAGGTTTAGTTTCATATAAACTTGGAAATCGGCTTGCATGGGTTTAAATTCCACTTACAATAATAGTTATAGAATTTTTAAAGAGTCAGGATTGTCTTGTTTTGTTTTTTGTATATTTGTGTTGGGGATAGTACCTAGGGCCTTATGCTTGCTAGACAAGTGCTCTGCCAGTGAATTACTCCCCAGTTCCTAAGATTTGTGCCTTTTAAATGATATTTAAGTTGTTCTGGGCAGGTAAGTAAATATTCAGAATTCATATCACAGGAAACGATGGCTGTGGTAGGAATAAGTTGATTGTGACATCACAGCATAGCATCATCCTAATTAAAAACTGAATTTCTCAACATCAGCTGATGGGAAACCAAGTCTTTTAAGTCACTGTTTACCTACAGCCGGAAAAACCCTATTCTGAATCCTTTTAGATGATAAGATCTATTTGCTCAGCAATCTTCCCACCAGGTACTCCAGGGCTTCTCTGAAATGCTATATACCACCTCGCTCACTTGAAAAAAATTCTAACCTCAAAATAATAAATGAAATTCATCCTCCTTTGCAGCACAAAGAACAAAATTCTCCACCCCAGGAGAGGGGTAGAGTAAAAAGCACACAAAAGTGATTACAGTAAAAACTAAACCAGTGGCAAGCTAAATTACAGATGCTAAAAAATAGTACTATGGAATCGTCCAAAGTCAAGAGTTTCAGCTAATGCCACTCATAAATTTATTTTAAGCAAACATTTTAATGGGCTGTCTGGACCACCTGATCACTTATGCCCAGGTGCAGTGACAAACAATGACATAATTTCTAGGGAGAAAAGCAAAGAAATTCTCCCAAATCTGTATTTCCACTGTCCTCAAATTTTCAAAGATCTGAGCTCTCACCCTTACCGGATTATGAATATATTTCCAGGGAGACAGAAGAGAGAGAGAGCTGGAGATAAGACAGAGAAGCAGCATACTGTCTTTGCTATCAAAACATTATTAAATTCATTCCTTTGACATTCTGACAGTAATTGCACTGAGAGGGATTGGATTTTGTTAAAATTACTTTAAAAGGGTTGTTGAGAATTTCCTGCAGCAGACTGGTGTGCAGTGCACAGATTTCGCTCCATCTTCCTTTGTTGTCCCCATGATCCTGAGGAACTCGGCACTCATCTCATTTTTGACAGCACGAAGCCCTTGGAAAAACATCCTGAGTCCCACAGAAAGCTCTGCCACTTGTAGTCCCCTGGTTCTATTTTCTGCTGTGACCCTCGCAGTCAGTAACCCAAGCTGATTCATTCGTGAGGTTTCTGCCTCTGTCACCTTAATAAACAAAGACAGAGCCAGGCACCCTTACGACCATCATCTTCCTAATAATGGCAGTGCCATGACACTGCAGGTGACACCAGGGTATTGTTGGGAAGAGCCAAAAATAGTGCTGTGCACTTCAAATTTCTGAATGTACGCATCACTGATGATGTAAACCCGAAGAGTTCTCATAAATCGTGACTGTATGACAACGTGTGTGTGACTAAGAGGCGTTTGTGAAAACGGTCCCTCCTCTCGGTGGATGAGTCCTAACCATGGCCAGGGCTGGCTCATGGTTCTTGGGCTTAGAAGTGACAAAGCAGAGCACCTCTAAGGTTAGTCTCATCAGGGAGGACACAGCCCTCTCCGACTGTCAAGAATGAGAGCTCTGATGGCCCCAAACTGCTTTCTTCACTGACCAGAAAATGAATGGCTTTCAGAGAGATAAAAGGTGCCACCGGGTGTTGAATTTCGCAAGAAATGCATGTTTCTTCAAAAGGGTTAAGTTGGGAGTGGTTATATGACCCAGCAATTCCACACCCAGTAAAGCAAAAGAAATGAAAATATGTTTGCACAAAAACTTGTCTACAAGTGATCGTCACAACATTGTTTATAATAGCCCAAAAGTGGAAACAACGCAAGCGTTCATCAGCTGATACAGCAATCAACACAGTGGGACGTGTCCACGCAATGCAATGCTACCTGGCTGTACAGAGGAAAGGGGTACGAAACACACGCTGTAACATGGATGAACTGAAAACTACTGTGCTAAGCAGAAGACAGCAATCACAAAAGATACTCTACGTACTGAACCATTCCACTTACATGAAATGTCTAGAACAGGCAAATCCACAGAGACAAAACACAGATTAGTAGTTGCCAGGAGTTAGCAAAAGGGGAGAAGTGGAAAGGAAAGCTACTGCTAATGGCACAAGGTTTCCTTCAAGAGGAATAAAAATACTCTAAAATTAGATAGCGAGAATAGCAATACAACACTGACTAAACTAAAAACACTGGATTATACACTTTCATATGGTGAGTTTTAGAGTACATATAAATTAGATCTCAATTTTTAAATGTTTAAACATCTGTACAAAAAATGCATATCTTATGCCTTGACTATATTTCTTAAAATGAGAATTAATTAAGCACGATTATTAATTATTTCAGTAACTGAATAGTGATTAAGCATTCCACAAAGGAAGAACCATGCATTTATTAGTGAAACCAATAATTTGGGGGAAAGGAAAGAGGGCATTTTTTTTTTCATTTTATTATCATACCCAAAGTAGGCAACCAACATCAAGAGCAATATTGGAGAACATTCTTTTTGTCCAGTTTCTCTGTAGAGCCTCTTTCTAGGAGGGAACAAGCTGATGTACATAAAAGTGGTTTCTGGGGAACAGCTCTAGATTTCCAGGGCAAGCCCACAATTTGAAAGGTGATTCAATTCGACTGAATAAAACTTCCACTGAGCAGATAGCGTTTGAAAGCAAACGCAATGGAAGCACTATCCCCAGCACCAGGTGAGTGGTAACCTCAGGCTGTCTCACCCCAGATTCTTTTCAGAAAGCAGAGCCCCTGGTCTTCCAACTTTGTGAATAACAAGAATAGCACCTCACACTTACCTGGTGCTTACTGAGCACCAAGCACTGTTCAAGCTTTTTCTATCAACTTATTGAACAGAACATCAATGGAGAGAGAAGTATTATTCCCATTTCACGGACGAAAAGGCTGATCCTCAGAGAAGTGAAGTAAGCTGCCTAAGGTCAAAGAGCAGAGCCAGGACACAAGCCTGGCTTTACACTCTGCCCTTTGAACACCACACTGATGTGAATCCAATTTACAAAACAAGTGTGTGGGACCAGTTCTGTAGAAAACTTGTAAAAGAGGATGCAATGACTCAGCCTTGCTCAGAGTATCCATTTAGAAAATTCTATGTAGATAAGCCTGACACAGCCTTACCTGTGGACCACCCCGACCCGGTGAAGGTGCTCCACCGCAGAGATGAGCTGCCGGATGTATCTGCGGGCTTCGGACTCCTCCAGGCGCTTCTTCTCATAGATCTTGTGCATCAAGTTACCCCCAGGACACAGCTCCATGACCAGGTAGTAGCTGTTTTCTGTCTCTAAGATATCGAGGAGCTGTGTGATATTGGGGTGACGGATCATCTGCTGGATCTGTCCCTCCCGCCGCAGGTTTTTGGTGACATAGGTGTCCTTTTTGGCTCTCTTCTTATCAATGACTTTGATGGCCACCTAAGAAGTCAAGAGCAGCTGTTAAGAGAGTAGATCTTAACTAATAACTCTGAGGTGATGGACCTGTTAATGAGCTTGTTGGTGGTAACCAGTTCGAAATGCACACAAATGTCAAAACATCACCCCAGATACAGGGAAGATATGCTCTGCTTCACTGTCACTTAAATCTCAAAAAATACTTTTTTAAAAAGTGAAAATGAAAAAAGTACAACCACAAGCACTACCAGACAAACTAGACCAGGGCACTGTACCCTAACTCCTCTTCCACAGTGTCATCCTAGACTCCTGAATTCACATCATGCACTGCCTTAAAATCAGCAAGACCGGAAGCCTCATTTCTTGGCAAAGCTTTTTTGGGGTTCACTGCTGGCAGCCTGAGCGCCTTGAGCATATTTTGTCAGGCATACTATGGACCGGCCTGGTTTCCTCTTCACTCACTCAAATCCCCCAAGTTGGCCTTTACCAAAGGCCAACTCAAGAGCCATCCTCTTTCTAGAGAGAGGTCCTCCCCCGAGTTCCTCAACACTTGGCATTGTAAGATGGAAACCTCCATCACTGTAATGCAGCTCGCTCCTCTTCCCCACACACAGTGTCTTACAAACTAAGTGACCGATAAGCTCTGAAGTGGTTCAGTCATCAAAGCAAAGCTAATATGAACAGCTGAACCTGTTATCTCTTCCAAGCAACAGAATTTTTGTCTTAATAGGGAATTTCAAGGCTTTTATCCAAAGATACAAAGAAAAACCAAGGTCTGATGATGATCAATGAAGGGAACAGGACAAGCTGGGGAGAGGAGGGACTCTGTACCTCACAGCGGGGACCTGTGTCTCAAGTCCCAGGCCAGCATTCCTGGCCCACAGAATTTACTTTTCATTCTGGCTGTGGGTCAGCCCAACTCATTCAACAGATGCTGTACTAACAGCTTTATAAATTATACTTACTTCTGATTCGCCTCTAAATATATTTGCATCTATCCTCTTGGGGCAATGGGAGAAAGATGCTGAAAAGTACAATTAAGCTCTATCTCTGCTTGACTCTGTTGCAATGTTATAAAAATTACACCCTTTGGCAACAAAATCTTAAAAGCACTATGAATAAACAGCAGTCTAAAAGCCAGGCAGTAACATCATCAGCCTTTTTTCTTTTAACAGAGCACACAAATGGTGTTAGGATAACTTATTTAGCTTGTTAATTGCCTGTGCTAGGTTGTATAATAGTAAAAAAAAAAAGTTAGTTATGAACTCCTGGATCACATCAATGTGACTGTATTTGAGGAAAAATATTATGCAGGTATGGTTCACTGAAAGACTTTGAGATGAGATTTACCAATATTCCCCAAGTGGGCCCTGCATGTCCTCCTCTAGGTCCTTCCAAAATAGAGACCAGGGAAAATTTTGCACAAATACAGAAAGGAGAAGGCCATATGAAGAAGGTTAGGGTTAGAAACAGGAAGAGAAAAAGGCAGGTTCCTCCCCTAGAAGGTACACAAGCCCTGTTAATACTTTGACTGTATGGCCACAGGAACTGCTAAAGAAATCCATTTCCTACATTAAGCCATCACGTTTACAAAAATTTGTTACAGCAGCCACAAGAAACTAGGGGAATATATATATATATCAGGTATTTTGTCCCAGCAACAGAAAAGTGGCTAATACGCCACTTTTGATCATTCTGATCATTTTCTGAGCTAGACATATGTAGTACAGTCTCTCTCTCTCTCTCTCTCTCTCTCTCTCTCTCTCTCTCTCTCTCTCTCCATACATGTGCCTTTTACCTGCAGCCTCTCTCGGCTCCTTACTCTTCCCCTTCAGAAATCCTAAATTCCTGAATAAACCCACCTTTCCCCCTGTTCCCACCAGGCCATATGTGACGGATGGGGAGTAAGGTCACATGAGAACCCCACACTCAGGGCTGAACAAGTCATGCTGGGTTTTTGTACCTCCAAGATCCCTATGAAGCCCTATTAAGTTGTGAATAAGTATCTGTGGTAGCAATTCCTATAGACAGAACTCTGAGCACAGGTGGCTTCTTCCAAGAAGCTGGCCATCATGATCACAACCCTATGATTATCATAATCCTAACAGTGCTTACTTCCAACACACCAGACTGAGGTGGATTCACCTGGCCTTTTTTGGGGAGAGGGATTCTTCTTATATGTTCCTACTTCTGGGTGACACAGTATACATGCTCCTTGATTTTTCAAGGGTTCCATCTCCATAAACTCACAATAAACCAAAAATACCATAAGTGAAAAATGCATTGAATTCCACAACCCATGGACCAGCTCAGTTTATTGACACAGGGTGCTATAGCACATCCACTGTTTCCTCCTTGTGGTCAACCAGCTGACTGGTAGTGAGCGCACTGCTGCTGCCCAGCATGGAGAGAGGACTGTACCACAGTGGCTAGTCCAGGGAGAGATCAAAATGCAAAGCAACAAAGGACGATTTCTACTGAACTTAAGATTATTTTCACACCAGCGTAATGTTCAAAACTCCTGGGCTACACCATCTGAAGTCAGGGACTGTTTCCAAATGGCCTCCCATCTTCTCTTAATTTCTTGCTCTTCTTTCTGCCCCTCAACCTCCTGTTCCCAAAGGTGAGCAAGAATGTGTGACCCAACTGGGAAATGGGAAACACCCCAGGGAAAACCACCCAGTTCTTCCACCTCCCACCAGCTCCAGCTTTGGGCCATCTTACAAAGGCCTCTGCAAAGAGCTGAAAAACCTAAAAACAGGTCCATATCCCAAACTCTGGTAGTTGTAAACAGTACCCAATTTAGGAAAAGGGTCCCTGCAGATATGATGAAGTTAAAGGTCCTAAGATGCACAAATTACACATTGACTCACAAGTCCCCAAAGCCTTTAATAATGGCCTTGAAAGGGGGAGGAGATATCTCAGACAGACACACACACACACACACACACACACACACACACACACACACGAAGGCCATGTGAAGGAAAGAAAGACTGCTATGGCCAAAAGCCCAGCCAGTGGCCTTCAGTGGCTTTGAAGAAGGCAAAGTTCAGATCTCCCAGATGTTCTCTCTAGAGGGAACATGGCCCTGTTGATATCTTGACTTTGGCCCAATAAAACTGATTTCAGACTTTCAGCCTCCAGGCAACAAGAGGATAATTTTCTGTTATTTTAAGTTACCAATTTTGTGGTAATTTGTTAGAGCAGCCTCAAGAAAGTAACACAACTGGTGTGTCCCCCATCATCATTCAATATCTTGGTTTCCAAGTTCTGCTGGCCAAGAGACTGTCTATGAAAACCCTGAACTCAAGCCACCTTCCCATCACTAGCTTATTTTCATTCACCCTCCTCCTACACTGACAGTAGTGAATGTGGAATGATGTTCATGATTACACAAAACCATTTAATCAACTTCACCCATAACAACAAATATGGAAAAGAAATGACTGCGATATTAAGGGAAAGGCAACCAATGATTGGCAAAGGGAGGCACTGAAGTTAATTTGACAGCAATCTGAGATTAACAGGCAAAACAGATCCAACATTGATTCTGTCAGGGTAAAAGCTCAGTGCAATGATGGATCTGTAGCTGAAAAATAAACTGCTTTAGGCAGGAGAGTTGCAAAGAGTAAAAGTAGACCTGCTATTCAATGACACTAAAATAAGCAAATATAGTATGTTCCAGACAAAAGGAAAGAGAGTATTAGTGGCCAGTACAGAGCTACAGCAATGTCCCGTAGGAACTCTCAATCTAGTCTAAGGGAGTGAGGGTGTGTGTGTATGTGTGTGTGTGTGTGTGTGTGTGTGTGTGTGTGTGTGTCATGGAAGGAGGGAAGATGTCAGTCTGAGCTAGAGCTCTACTCTAGCCTCATGAGCACATCAAAGAAAGAAAGAAAGTGTTATGGCTTGTATCAGGAGCCCCTCCCCCAAGCCTCATGCAATAATGGACATGGCTGATTCTAGCATTTATGATTGGTTTGTTGTCTAGTGCTGGGATTGGCAATGTAAGTGCTGCACCTGCCCAGGGGTGGACCTAACATACAGTGTGAGGCCAGAAAGAAGGCGTGTCTTCCTCCCCTTTTTTGCCCATTTCACTCTTGCTGTTTGTGGTAGCCTTGAATGGCTGCCTTGCCATGCTATCTTGCCTTGGAGCCAGCTAACTAAAACATCCAAGTCATTCACTTTGGGTGTCAGGTATTTTATCTAAACACGAGAGAAAAGTAACCAAGACAGAAAGAAAGGAAAGAAGGAAGAAAATTCTATAAAATGTCTGTAAAATCAGACTCTAGCTCTTCAATGAATCCAAGTTGCAAAACCTCCCAAAATTTTACAAAGGAATCTGTTTTCAAATATTGCCCCCACACTTCCAACCATATAAGTAGCAAAGTCTTGCACAGCTCCAATCTATGACAGATTATGAAAGATTATTCATTAAGTTCTTTCATTAATTAAGGAACAGCATGTCTCAAAATATGGGAATTCTACATCATCCCTCCTCCCTTCCCAACCAAAAAAAAAAAAAAAAAAGATGCCTATTAGTGATGGATAAAAATCAGCAAACCAACTTTTAAATAAATAGTTAAGCTTAAGAAGGAAACAGAAGTCTCCCAAGGCTATAAAATGAATGAGTCTATAATCACCAGACAGTAGCTACAGAGGAGGAGACATAAAAGTTACAGGGGAGACGTGGGAATCCCTAAAGAAGGAAAGGAACTGATGGAAAGATCTGATCTGCACAGAATGAGAGTTTGGCTCTCTCCTCCAACATAAGATAGGAGAGGAAAGGACACACATGAATCCCAATCCATGAACAAAGGGACCAACTGCAAGAAATGGATTCATGCCTGGCGTTTGTTTTATATCAGGAGAAAAACTGCTGTACAACGAACGATACCCAAAATCATCTAGGTACAGTAATGGTACGTATTTCCATAAACCAAGTGGTCCCTAAGATGATGTACCCAGGGTGCTTAGTAGACTGTTTGGCACAGAGTAAGTCCTCTTTAAATTGATGCAATTAT